CCTAGGAAGAAAACGGGGCCAGCATGAGGAGCAGAACGTATCAGAAGAGACAAGAGGGCCATTTGACCTAGATCTCAAGCTCAAAAAAGGACCTCCAATTTAGTAGGTTTATTAACATTCAATCATGAAACTGGAACATTTGAATAAACCTCCTATACACAGCTTTGCCCCCAAATTAGAATTTTTATCAATACCATAATGTATTAAAACAAAAAAAATCTGTAAAACATGCCCAAAGATTCAAATTATGTCTCCTTTTCTGTCTTACTTTATTTTCATGTATCTGGTTTTATCATGGCTAGTATCCTCAAAAATTACAAATGGCCTAGGTTTTACTCTGATACCCAAGAGCCTTTGGCAAAGAGTATGCAAGTGAGTTATAAGATTAATATAGTTAACTTGTCTAGAAGTAGCCAGGACCAAGAATGACTGGTGATACTTGGGCAAAAAGGCGCAGAAGCAAATGTGCACACGAGATATTTGATGAGTGTAGAGCATTCCAGGGGTGGAAATGAAATAAGGGAAGGTCATGTTGGACTGCGGTCGAATGCCAGACCTTTTCTTAATACATAAAAGGGAGCCCTTGAGAGTTATTTGTTTATTTTAGTAGAGGAGTGATACTATCAGATCTTTAAAAAATTAGTCTAGTAGCTCATAGAGGGGAGAGTGGGAATGGGAAGGTTGGTTATGAAGTTTATTTTTTTAGACAGTTGGGGTTAAGTGCGTGCCCAGGGTCACACAGCTAGTAAGTGTCAAGTATTTCGTCTGAGGTCAAATTTGAACTCAGGTCCTCCTGACTTCAGGGCCAGTGCTTTATCCACTGCACCACCTAGCTGCCCCTTGAGGAATTTTTTAGTCCAAAAGGATGGCAGTGGAGGATAGTAAGAAGATGGTAAGGAATGCCTTTACTAGGGTAATCACAGTGGGACTGGAGAAAAGGTGCGGGGGGGGAGGGGAGAGTTTTGAGAAATGTTTCAAAAGTAAAATCAATAGGTCTTGGTAACCAACTGGACATGAGAGATGATAGAAAGGGAAGGTTAAAGGTTAAAGAATAACATAGTTTCAACATGGGAAAATGGGTGGGTGATAGAAATGGTGAAATTAGAACGAAGAGCAGGTTTAGGAAGAAAATAATAATCTTGGTTTTAAAAATGGCTTATGAGAAATCTACGTGGTGATGGCCTATAGACAGTTGGAATTATAGATCTGGAGCTCAGAAGACATGTGAGAGCAGCAGATGTAGATATGAGATCCCATCTTTCTGGAAATGATCATTGAAGCCATAGGAACAAGAGATTACTAAGGGAAGGAGTGTAGAGAGAAGAGGAAAGAATGGAGGATAGCCCATCCTGAGAGGTAGGGAAGAAGATGAAGAGATTTAGAAGGAGCAATTAAGTTGGCAAGAGGAAAACCAGAGGAGAGCTATATCATGGAAACCAAGGGAGAAGAAAGTATCCAAAAGGAAGGGATGGTCAGAAGCATCAAATGCTACAGAAAGTTTCAGAAGGATGAAGACTTAAGGCCCATTTCATTTAGTGATAAGATCATTGGTGACCCTGTGAGAGGGACAGTTTAGTGCAGTTGAGGCAGCAGAAAGACTGCAAGGAAGTCAGCAGAGTAAATGACAACTTTTCTGAAATGTTTAATGATGAAGGGGTGATTGCTTCCTGGTTATTCCTGGGGAAAACAAAGTAAGCTTCTGTTGAGGAGAAACCCAGCCTCTCCCTGCTATGGCACTGAGAGGCCTCCTCTGAGTCAGCCCTGTTTGACAGCTGCTTTATCTCTTCCCAGATGCCTTCCCTTAGGCACGTGGTTGAGGGGAGCTCCTTCTAAATTTTCAGCTGACACACCGGTGCCTGCCTATTGAAGTGCTCACCAAGCATTTGGGTCATACTCTGCTTTGTTCTGTCAAACAACCCACAAGTTTTTTTTTGTTGCTGTTGTTCTTATTTTTTTGTTATGTTTTGTGACATGAAACTGGGGTTTTCTAACTTAGCTCATCTCAATTTTGCTTATCTCAATGATTGTGTTCCTGGCTTCCTGAAGCCATCTCCTCAGGGAGGCAAAGCCTGATCCAGCTTCCCTTTGATGAGCTTGCTCAAAGACATTTGAATTTTCTAATTTGCCCCAAAGATGGGATCCAGGGATGTGTGGCCCACTAGAGAATCAAGCCAATTCTCATGTAAATGCAGTCCCCACTTCCAGCACCATCTGTCTGCATGTTTATATGGCCTATTGGATTGGATCATTAAGATATAGAATAATATGAATCCAGAGTCAAAGGGAAACTTATAGTATCTCAGATCTAAGATCTCTTCATTCCTCCAGTTTGGGGGGGGGTAGACATGTGATTTCATTGGTTTAGGGAACTCCCTCTCCCAGTACAGATTGGCATCTACTCTGCAACATATAATCTAGCTCTTAACCTGGAGTCCATGAATTTGTGGGGTTTTTAAAAATATTTTTGATAATGATTTCAATATAATCAATTTCTTTTGCAATTCTATAGATTTTATTTTTTGTATTTTAAAATAACATTCTGGGAAGGGGTCCATGGAAATCACCAGACTGTCAAAGGGGTCGGTGACACAAAACATGTTAAGAAGGGCTGTCTTCAAGAATTTGAACCCAAGCCTTCCTGACTCCAAGGCCATCACCCTATTCACTATGTTAGGCTGCCTTCCTTTTCCCAATTATCCTATGGAGAAAGGTCTAGCTTCTAGACTACATTCTATCTAGGGGTGGGGAAACCACAGCCTCAAGGCCACATGTGGCCCTCTAGGTCCTCGGGTACCTTTTGACTGAGCCCAAGTTTTACAGAACAAATCCTTCTATTAAGGGGATTTGTTCTGTGAAGTTTGGATTTCCCTTAATAGAAGGATTTGTTCTGTAAGACTTGGACTCAGTCAAAAGGCCACACTTGAGGACCTAGAGGGCCACATGTAGCCCCGAGGCCATATGTTCCTCACCCCAGGCTAGAAACTATGTTGTCAGCAGATATAATAAAAGGAAGTTCCAGTAGAGAGGAAATAAGGAAATAAGCCACTTCTATACTGCCTGTTATGTGCCAGGCATTATGCTAAGTGTGTTATAAGTATTAACTCACTTGATCCTCCCAACTTCCCTGGTATGTGGGTGTTGTTATTATCGCCATTTTACAGATAAGAAGCAAATATAAGTCAAGTCACTTGCCTAGGGTCACACACCTGGTAAATGTCTTAGGTTGTATTTGAATTCAGGTCTTCCTGATTCCAGGATTCCCCAATCTTATCCACTGCGCCACCTAGTGGCTGCCTCTTATATAGTACTGCCAATTCTCAGCTACTCAGAAGACGATTTTTCCTTAGCAGGCAATTTATGCTTGATGGTTCTGGTTCTTTTTCCATTTACTTGCTCCATTAAGGAGACATAGAGCAGAGAAAGAAGGTAGAACATAAATGAAGGCAAATTCTGCTTCTTGTTTAAAAAGTTGACCCTTTCTGCTTCTTCTTCCTCATCCATAAAATGTCAGGGGCAGAGGGAGAGGGAAAATGGGAGAATTAGCCTGGGAGGTGAACTCCAAGGTGCCTGTCAGTTCTACATCTATGCTCCTATAAACTGATTTCCTGAAATGAGATTTTTATTATTATCTGTACATTGCATTTCTTTCTTTTTCCACTATCAGAAAAAAAAGCCACTTTTTTTTTAACTCCACATTGAGATACCCTGTAGAGCATTTATGTACAACAGAATGAAGCAAACTTTTCTTGTGGATAACTGCAAAGGAGCAAGGCTTTTCCCCTGTCCTTCGGAGGTTTGAGAAATGATCACTTCTGCAAAAATATAGGAAAGGTCTTTGCATTTTATTGGAATTTTCATATTAAAAGTGAACTAGATAGCCATGCATCAGGGATTCTCTGTCCTCTCTCCCACAACCCTCTGCCTTTGTCTTCACTGTGCCCTTTGCCTGACATACCCAACCTGGCCTCCTTCCGGCAAATGAACTAAATATTCTTTGAAACCCAATTCAAATGTCACATCCTTCAGGAAGTCTTCCCCGATTCCCCTGATCAGGAAGGACTTTTTATCTTAATATAATTCAATAATCATTTATTACATGCCTATTCTATGCAAGGCTGTAATGGGAGGTTCTGTGGATACAAAATGAAACGGATCCTGACCTTTCCCTCCAAACCTTTCAAAGTACTTTATTTTGTAACTTTTCAGCGCACTTAATGTGTAGTATTACGTTGTAGTTATCTATACTGATGGCATCCCACTACTACACTGTATATTACTTGAGGGCAGGGACCCTGTCTGTTGTCTCAGTATCCCACTCAGCACCTAAGACATTGCCTTAACCATAGTGGCTAAGAACTTGTTGGTTGTCATTGGTCAGAAATTCCATAGCAAGAGGGTAAGGGGACAACCTGACTTGCTTTAATGCCCTTTTAGACTCTGGATTATAGCAGTCAATGGAAGGGCAAGGTATGAGATGATGAGAACAAATGATAAACCCTCAAATCCCCTCTCTGAATGGCCCTTCTTGAAGAGTAAGATTGGTGATTTAAAGACAGAGGAGTAAGATTAGACTGATTGCATTTTCCCTACTTCAGAGAGGAAAAAATGGAAACCCAGTGGGTCAGATGACCTGTCTGAGACCTCAGAAAAGGACTGAGGTAGGAGGGATGTCTACTCCCCATGGATCAAACTGACGTTCCAACTGTGAAATAGCAAGCATTCTCAGTCTCATCATGAGTGCTGCTCTGGGCACACAGCAGGTGCACAGCTCAGGAAGTCCTTGTTGACTGACTGACTGTTTGATTAATTGGACTTTGCTACCAAAGGGCCTCACTCTTTTATTCCCCCTTCCAGTAAGGACAAGTAACAATTGACTCTAACCATGCCTGCCAGCCTGAGCTTTCTGATCCAGCAACAGCAAACTGAAAAACCTTGCCTTGCACTTCTAATTTTGATTACTCAGTGAGGTTTCTTTTTCTTTTTCTTTTCTCATTCCACAGCTCCAGAAGTCCTCGCGCAGAAACCTTATAGTAAAGCCGTTGACTGCTGGTCCATCGGTGTGATTGCCTACATATTGTAAGTATTTACATACTATCCCAGTAACCAGGAAAAGATGTTATGGCAAAGTTAGCAAGAATTTTACTAAAAATAGAAAACTGGGTCTCCTGATTGCTTCTATCATGGATTGTTCTGCATAGAGACCATGTTTGCCCCTGAAATCTAGTTGGCATAAAATCTGAACATGACCCATAATTGATGTTATTTTTCATATGTTATATGAGAAGCAGTATGGTATAATTCAGGGGTGGGGAACCTGCGACCTCAAGGCCACACGTGGCCCTCTAAGTCTTTGACTTCAAAGGGCCGCACTTGAGGACCCAGAGGGCCACGTATGGCCTCAAGGCTGCGGGTTTCCCACCCTTGGAATATATAGAGCTAAGATTTGCCATTGGGAAGATTCTGGCTTGAATCCCAATCAGACATTTACCAGCTGTATAACTTCAGGCCTCATTTTCCTCATCTGTAATCTGATGGAGTCTGGGCTCAATGAACTCTAAAGCCCCCTCCCCTTTTTTTTTTGCTAGGCAGTGGGGTTAAGTGACTTGCCCAGGGTCACACAGCTAGTAAGTGTTATGTGTCTAAGGCAGGTTTTGAACTCAGGTCCTCCTGAATCCAAGGCTGGTGCTCTATCCACTGCGCTACCTAGCTGCCCCCCTAAAGTCTTTTCCGATCCTACATCAATGATCCTGATTTTTTCCCAAAAGTCGACTTTTGGAGGGGAGGAGATGTATTATTGAACCAATATTATTCTTAGTATAGCCCTATGAAATAAAGTGAATATGTGCATGGCATAATAATAACAGTAATAACATATTTGTTCTGGTTCAATCACTTTTTTTCAGTAATGTCCAATGGTTCATGATCTTGTTTGAGGTTTTCTTGGCAAAGATACTGGAGTGGTTTGCAATTTCCATCCCGAAGTCGTTTTTACAGATGAGGAAACTGAGGCAGAGTTAAGTGACTTGCCCAGGGTCACACAGCTAGTTAAGTGTCTGAAGCCACATTTGAACTCAGATCTTCCTAATTCCAGACCCAGTGCTGTATCCACTGTGCCACTTAGCTGCTTCAATAACACATTTACATAGCCCTTTATGGTACATGAAGCATTTTCCTCATAAAATAACTATATGATATATACATTTCCCATTTCACAGATGTAAAATGCCTAGGAATCATAAAGTACCAGATAAATGTTTGCTATTATTATAGATATTGTTATTATAGGAAGGGTTGGTAAATTGCTTCAAGAGGATCCTTTTTAAAAAATCCATCTAAAAAGTTAATGTTGTAGTTCCCATTTTTCCAGTTTTATTTTCAAAATCTTGTTTTGAAACACCATTATGAGATGGGACTAAAATAAAAGTGCATCTTGGGCCAAATATTTTACACAATTGGTTAAAAATGAATTTTCCTCCCAAATTAGGGACTGGTCCCTGGCAGAAATAGCAGGCTGCAAAACATTTCCCTGGAACATGTGGGGACTCAGTCAGAGAAAGGTCTGACTGCTCATTACCCTGTTCTCCCCAGATATTGTTCAGAGACTTACTCCTTTGACATTTACTTTTTTTCCTCATTTTCTGAAAATTTCACTGTTTTCCCCTGGCATTTAGTAGTTTATCTTACATAACTGGGAATCCTATTAACTTTTGTGTCAATTCAGAAGGGCATTGCATGGAGCTCCATCCAAACATGTCTATTCCGATGTGACATGCCTGGGTCAATATGACCTACTGAGATAATGTGTTAAGACCCATTCTGTTCAATTAACAGGTGATAAAAAGGGATGAAAATGATGTGGTTTCTCAAGAGCAGGGAGAATGGGACATAGACATAAGTATGATTCTCAGAAGAATGGAATGGAGCAAAGGAGAAATCCACACAAGTGTGGATTTACATATGCATATACATGCATATCTATACTTATACGTGTGTGTACACATACATATGTATATACATATATATATATATATATATGTTAAGAACCAAATGAGTCATATATAATAAGAATTATAGGAATTTGAAGGGGGAAAAGATCACTAGGGGCCGAAGTTGTCGAAGTTAGGAGTTGATATTTGCACTGTTCCTCAAAGGGTCGATAGGTCAAATCCCTTGAGCGAATTAGAAAGAGAACAATGCCACTGGACAAGCAGTGAGTCACCACACCCCTAAGTGACCCTTAAAAGACCATGCAATAGTTTGAAAGTCAGTTTGGGTGAGTCCAGGCAGAGGTAGACTTGAAGAGGAGCTTGCTTCCCAATGAGGAATGACATGTGTAGCAGGTACACAGAACTGGAAAAAGGGAGGAAGGAAGTGAGGGGTGTGGAGAGAGAGAGAGAGAGAGAGAGAGAGAGAGAGAGAGAGAGAGAGAGAGAGAGAGAGAGAGAGAGAGAGAGAGAGAGAGAGAAGTGGAGCTGAAAGAGGAGAAGCATGATGGAGATGGCTGGTCTCAGTCTCTGTGGGCTGGTATAGTAAAAGGAGCATAAATAAAGATGTTATCTCTGGTGCTAAAAAGTGCCTTGCACTTGTATAACTGGCAACAATGGAGGTAGGCATTCCAGGTCTGGGACACGTCATAAGGCACAGAGGAAGGCGAGCATGGCATAGGAGAATACAGATCAATAAGTCGTAAAATTGGACTGGCCATACTAGCTGTAGGTCAAATTACTGATTTAGCCAAATAGTAACCTTAAAAATAAATTGGGGTTCAACATCAAAGATGTCAGGTTCCTAATCTTTTACTCTCACCCACTGATCTAGTCTGCCTCTTTTTAATAAAGAACCATCAATTGCAGATTTATCCTCTAGTTCTTGATGTGGGCTGAGACCAAGAGCAGGTTTAGTTACCCAGGGGAGCCTGCCTTCCCACAAGGGTTAGCAAAGATTCCCACATTATTAATGTCAACTGGAATGGAAAAGAATTCAGATAACTTTCTTCAGGAAGCAACAGTATTATTTTCATTTGATAAGCCTGTCTCTCATATAGCTACAAGACTGTAGCAAAAAGGGACTGCAGTACACCCCAGTATCCGATTGGCTCCTCTTGGTGCCTTTTCCTTCTATGTAGCTGATTTTGTCAGCATGAATAACTTGTATAACAGTACGACATAGCTCTATTTTTGGTCCCTACTCTAATTGCTGTATTAGCCATCATTTAGAAGGACAGATTCTCCCCACTCCCCTACTACCATCCATGCCTTCTAAGGAACCTTAGTCTTTTAGCACATTTTATGGGTCCTTCTCTCATACCCATATCGTATTTTCAGTCTTGTAGAGCAGCTTTGGAGACTTGCCTTGAAAATACCTCTAATAGATTTACATTGAATACTTCACCTGTAAAATTAATGACAGAGAAAAGGTTCAAGGTATACCAATCAAGTGCTGATGCCTAGCCTAGGCCTATAGAGCTCCCTCATATAAGACTAGAGTACCAGACAAAACTATCTCCCAAATCACAGTGGGAGCAAACACCTGTTACCTGCTCAAAACCTCACATCCCTGTCCTCCCTTGCATTCTGCCGGTCTTCTCAGGACCTCAAAGAGATTATTTGATGATGATGATGATGATGATGATGATGACGATGTACCAAAGTTGTGACCCCAGGGCACAAGGAGATTCAAGTTGTTCTCTTTGGCTTTGACTAAGGAAGACCTTAGGAAGATTCTCATTCCCAAAATATCTTTTGAAGTAGATAGGTTAGAGGTATTGTAACAGAAACTAGGAAATCAGTGTAGAGAGACTAGAGTTTCATCTTTGAATGTTTGTTTCAGGTGTTGTTAACATGGATGCACTGAAAGTTATTATCAGTGGGAATCTTAAAATAATATGGTCCAGTACCCTGGTTTTATAGGTGAGGAAACTGAGGCTCACAAAGGCTAATTAATATGCCTAAGGTCACATAGGTAGTCAATGGGTGAGCCAGCACTTGAATCTGGATTTGTTTTTGTTTTGTTTTTGGCCCCTCTTGATTTTGCTGTTCAGCCTTTGTCTCATTTCCTTGTCTAGAAGAAGCTACAAAGTATTTGGATTTTTTTTGTAGTCACCTTACCCATTACTGGCTACTACCCACACTCCATGAATCTTCTGTATATACTGTGTAGTGTTTGGAATAAATCATATGAGGGGTGAGGTTTGGACTAAATGACCTGGAAGGTCCCTTTCAGCTTTATTTATTATTATTTACTCTCCTTGATGTGCAAGTTCTGTCCATTTTTCCTAGGACGTAGAATAAAGCATGTTAAGGCTTTATCCTTTTACACGAAACAGTTGACAGCTGGCTGTTCATAGGTTATATGTCTTTGAAGAAGGATAATTACAACTAAATGCCATTGGAGAAGAAAAAGAAGAGTAGTTACAAAATTTTAGTAACGTGATAGTGTCTAATGCAATGTTATTAGTACCAATCCTATTATACTAATGAGAATAATTAATAGGCAGCCAAAATCAACTAATAAGAATTTATTAAGTGCTTTGCTGTATGTCAGGCACTGTGCTAAGCAATAGAGATACAAAGACAAAAACAAAGAAAGTCCTTGTCTTCAAGGAGCTTCCATTCTATCTAAGGAGATGATGCGCTGAGCACTGACTTTTTTTGTCCCTAAACTATGACTTACATCTAGAAGGCTGGTTCAAGCCTCAGGGTATTCTACCTGTCATCAAGAGTATAGGGTCTGAACCTCAACTTCCAAGTTTCAGAACCCAGTTTTATCATTTTTCCAGGAGAAGAACAATCCCTAACTAGTTAATTCATACTAGAAATGGATTGATAAACCCAATACCAGCTTACTAATCTCCAGTGAGAAACGTGATCAAATTTTTTGTCAGCTTGTTGTGTATGCTTATTTCCCATCGAGGAAACCCACTTAAGAAATGGAATTATTGTATTAAGGTTGCTTAGCAAATATTTAATCAGGACAAAGGTAAGGAGATGGTCATAAGCATTTTCCCCAAGCCTAGTAAATGACCCTTCTCCACCAAAGAGATATTCAGACCAGGTATCTGTAGCAGCTCATCAAAG